TTTTGTTTCGTTCCCCGCAGGAACGAAACGGTACTGTATTTGGTTTCGAGCAATATCACAGGAAAGTGACGTCAGAGATCAAAGTTATCCAATCCTTTGCCAGTATTCTTGCTGAAACGTCAATTACATTTAGAATCGTCCAATGAGATGACCGCTCCTAGCATAAGAAGTTTTTTGGAGGCGTGGCGTATAATCGGAAATCTTAGTTAATTATATGTCAACCTATGAGAACATGGTAACTTAACCTGAAGTTCAGGCCCTAATTTTAAATAGGGCCTGACACAAAACCTGTCTAGACCGTGGGACGCCCACATGTTATTTTTAGACACAGCATGCAATATGATTGACAAGTGTTGTAGATTTCGTTACACAAAAAAATTATATTCTCATGAACATGTCCGCAGAGTGTGCATTTTGCTTTATAATTAAACTTAAAAATTCAAGGTACTTTTATATAAATAAGATTCAGACAAAGATTTAATTAGTCAGTTCTGTGCACGGCTAGACTGCCAAGCTTTCTCAAGGTCTCAACTTGCTGGACGCGGATATACCAGGGATATACTCTAACGGGCTAACAACAGCAACAATAAAATTCTCAATCGTACCACGAAGAAGGCGATGTAGCTCAGAAAACAACGCCGGTAGGACCTGATATTAAAAATAAGACTTTGCGACCGGCGATTGCGGCGAAGCCAGTTGGCAGAACATCTTGGCTGTCAACAACAAGCTTTCGAATACATGACTAGTTTGGCTGTTCTTTCAGCGTCGTGTGTCCAAAATTCGTCAAAGATTTTGATAAAAACCTTTCAAAATACTATTTGTTTGATTTATTTTCTGCCATAAAGCATACAAGAAAAGAAATTCGAAGAAATCGATAATGGATTTGTTACGTGCGTTTGACCTTTATATTATTATTGTCCCCTTGAGCCCTTGCCGAGCTATTTTTAAAACTGTTGTTTATGTGAACTTGCAACCAATCAAAATCTTAGAGCCTGAACTTCAGGTTAAATGGCACGATGATTTATATTTGAAGTATTCAAGCGCCAACAGCGGTATATATTTATTATATAGTTTTCTTTGTTTTTCTTCATTTTAAATACTACTACTGTATTTCTGGACCGCTCGGCCCCTCCAGGTAATGAAAATTTATACTAATACGTGCAAAAATTACCAGAACCCGCCCGCCTCACAAAATGAACCAATTTCATTGCTCGACATACACAAGTGATCTATGGTCACAACCGCTAATTACAGACGTCTGGTATTTCTATAATTATATTGGAACGAAACATTATTTCTTTTTTTAAAGAAATATTTTCTTGTTGCGTAGGTATAACTTCGGAACCAGATTAACCTGAAGTTCAGGGGCCTGAACTTCAGGTTAGAACCAGATGAGATAGAATACAGCAGAAAACCGCGGCCAATCGGCTTATTCTTTCATGCTCTTTCAGATAAAGCAATAAAAATTTTTATTGCCAATTTATATAATACTATATAAACAACAGTATTCTAGCGATTTATGGCCTTTGTCTTTGAAAGCCAGGCGGAATTGTATTGTTGACAAATCGCTCAAAATTATTAAACTAATAATAAAAAATGCAGCGCGTTTGATCCTTGATAACTTTGGTATCGTTGGTTTTCTCTTTTTCGGCCGTATACAAGTGGATTCGTCTCACTTCTCTCTTCACTTTGATAGTATTTTGAGCCCAAAAGACCCTAAATATTTTCTTTTGAACGTTTAAAGCGCAGTTTAATCCTTGCGTACGGACCAACTGGCGGTCGACAGAAGAATGTATATATGAGTGTACTAAATAAAGTAAATATAACTTTACTTGATACGATCTCACTTGACTTTCAAAGGCCATAAACCAATGTTGATATCGACTAAAACCATCGTTAGGAATTAGGAGATATTTTTTCACTGAATCGAATGGAGGTTCCCTGTTTTATATGAGTCGAATGAGTTCATGAGTTATGAGTAAATGAGTCATGAGTCAGTTCAAAAACAATTCTTGTTTATAGGCTACTACATGCATTCAGCAACCAAAATGTCTTTCAAAACCTACATAACTGATAAGGATATCACTTTGGATATAAAACCTTGTCTTTGTTAGCAGTGACCGGCATATTGGATCTGTTAATCGACGAAATGAAGTCTGGACACGTATAGCTGTATACAGACAAATCCATCGCCTGCAAGACAGCATTCTCTCGGATATGAATTCATGCTTGTTTTCGCTCTTTCAACGCTTTTAATCTCGAAAAATTCGAGGAAAAACTATGGAAACGTACAATATTAATACCATCTTGTGTTCATAGAATCACAAGCACCACAAACACGTCTAATCGTACTTGTGTGTCAGTTAACGAACAGGACATTAATGAGGAACTTGCTTAAGCAAAATAATGAGCAATGTTAAAGCAATGTTGCTGTTGCTTATATTTGAAGTAGAGAGTACTGTTATTGTTATATTGTTATTTTCATTAAAACTGTTCAGAACATGAATCGTATCGAAATGAAAAGTTTGTAGTGTACAGTGAGACTTCGAAGAATGAAACCCCATTTATACCGGCATGAAACTAGAAAGAGCATCTTCAAATTACGGTAAAATTCATAAATTGCAGTAAAGTTTTTTTAGCGAAATAGTTGTAAAATGAGGAAAATATAGCCCTGCGGAGTTCGTATATATCTATTACTTGTGGAAAAAATAATGTTTTGAACCGATTATCTGTTTGTCGCTTTTCAGTGTCTAAACTGATTAGGCTAGTAGTCGCTTCAAAGCACTCATGTGAGTGCTTTGAAGCGACTACTAGCCTAATCAGTTTAGACACTGAAAAGCGACAAACAAACCGACGTACAAAGCCAAAGCCAATATTTTGAGGTCGAAACCGCAGGAGGTAATTAAGTATGCCAAGCATCGCACAGTGTGTCTGGGCTACTATGGATATCCTTATTAGTTACTGTAGGTTTTGAAATTTAAAGACATTTTGGTTGCTGAGTGTAGTATAAACAAGAATTGTTTTTGAACTGACTCATTAACTCATAACTCATGAACTCATTCGACTCATAAATAAAACAGGGAACCTCCATCCAAACAGCATGTCGACACTGGCGACACACGAGGTTGTGGTCGAGGCAACGTTGTACACATTTTATATGCATATAACATTTCACATATCCGTTGACATAATGCATGGCTGTCCCCAAACAAGCGACCTCCAAAGCCCACTGTATATTCTCACCTTTTGTGCTTACGTGATTCGTTTATAACACATGCAAAAATGCTCGTCTGTTGTTTCAGAAACATTTATACGCCTTTTCCATTCTGGCTTCTTTCGAGACTTTGTAATCAAATCCACATATTTGCTGATGACGAGATCTTGCTCCTTAAAACGCTCCGGGTCGGAAGTTCGAGGGTACTCTCTGTGTCCACCGTTCACAATGTTCACGTTGCCGTAAATGAGGACAGAGCCCGAGAAATAATGTTTGGCTAGCGTTGCGACATAATGCTGACTATAAATCCAACTTTTGTTTTCATTCTTAAGATTATACGGCAACAGATATGGCAGAGCGTCGTGATGAAATGCATTGAAACATGCATCAAAAAGATATCCTGAGAGAACATAGACACCGTTCCCGCCAGGTTTATTTCTTTGCCATTTACATCGGTGCGACTTACCATGGCAATACGCTGTAATTCCTACTGCGGGTTCGTATTCCACTAGAAAATTCTCAAAGGATCGCCATAAGCCAAGAGAGGTTACATTGACGTTGCTATCGACATTTGGCCGCATAGATGCGTCCTCGTCCACAAATATGTAGTAGAGGTACGCGGTTTCTCTCTTCATGGCGTGCTCGTAAAGGTAGTTCCTGCCTGAGTTCCAAGTTGTGCCATATCGGTGGATGTGCTCTACATGTTCCAAATTGCCATTCTTCGCTTCGTCACATTTCTCTTTGTAACCGAACATAATAATATCACAGTTGCATGTAGACCCGTTGCCAATATTGCATTCCCCTCTAAAATGTACAGGAAGACAGTTCTTCCCCATAACTAAGTACAGGAACTTTTTTGGCGTTGTCGAAGTACTGATCAGACAGCTTCCAGATGCTATAAACCGGTCCTCGTTATTTTCACCACCAAAGAAAACCCTGTATATCGCCGTGAAAATCGTTAAACTAAAAATTAAAATACAAATTTTTTTTGTGCCACAAATTTTTCGCTTCATAGCTTCGCCTAGTTTGAATGTCAGGCTCTCTGTGGGTTTATTTAAGCGAGCGAGAAATGCAGGCGCCGACTTCCCCGCGCTGCTCCAACAAAAGTAAGTTGTTATGCTTATTAAATATGTGCATGTGGTGATACTGATATTTATAAATGACGGACGGATGAATGACATAGGGTTAGGATAAAACGCGGATACGCACGGACGGATGACGGACGGACGGCTTATATTCTCGCACAATGTCCTTTATAAAAGTTATTTAGAAACGATAGCCCTTCAGCTAATGCTGCTTTTCAAGGGATCGTTTTATATAAACCTATAAAATATTAATGTACTATTTAAAGCACGCGTAGGAGTGTTTTATCACATATATACGAGTTCATTGGCGAAGTAATTTTTAAAATAAACTTTGTCTAAACCGAGAAAATCAAAGCTAAAGTTTATGTAAATTAACATAATTTTTTATCACATATAAAACCACGACACGCTTATGATTTTTCTTTGTGTTTTGCTCCTGAATTATTAATGAGTTTTTGAAAGATATTTACAAAATAAGTCATGTTAAATAAAACAATATTAATAAGTCATGTTGCAATACTTGTGAGCATCATCAACAGTCATTTAATCAATAGAAAAACAATTGTCGATTAAAATTTTAAAATGAAATGCTGATAGTTGCTCATACCCGTTGACTATGTCAATGGGTAAGTTGTTCCAAGCACAAGCTCCTCGGTACGAAAAGGATCTTTTAGTCATAAAATTAGTTTTAGGCTTACCTAACACAAGCTTGCGCATGTTACTCCGCATTTCGTAAATGTTATTTTAAAATTAAAATTTCCCTTTTCCTAAGAATAGACTCAATTGGAGCCCATCCTAGAATCCGAAAGACTGTTTTTGACCTTGATTTAGAGCTTTAATAATAATCCACCTTAAGTAAAAAAATACAGTGGACTTACAAATTCATAAACATTATAAAACCATCTATATTACAATAAAAATTTGTATTTTTAGAAAGGTTCAGTTGCTAGAGGCACAGACAACAAGTTCTATCCTTCAGTTCAAAGAATAATGCAACCTACATTCAGCCTAAAATTACAGAACCGTCTATTACAGTAGTAATTTAAAGTTTATTATTAAAAAGTTTAACTGCACGAGGCATAAACGATGATTTATGTCTTTCGGTTCTGGAAATAATGCGACCTACATTAGAACCTCTTTCTTTAGTTCTAGTGGAATAGTCGTGCTTCTGCATGTGCGATAGGGACAAGGTGGTGACAGGGATGGTTTACGTCCTGAGTAATTGCCTCCATTTTTCGAAGAGTTAGCTTATCTCTTCTCTCACTAAGCGGGGGAAGTGTATCGACCGGTAAACCAATAATACGTAAGCTTCTCCTTTGAATACGTTCAAGGTCGTTCACTAAATAGTGAGGTAGGCCACCCCAGACTGGCGCGGCATATTCAAGCAGTGGACGAATTTTGGTGCAGTAAGTTGCCAATCCTACTTCAGTAGGAAGGTGTGCCTTCCTGCACTGCCTTAGATGACACAGTCTCCTGTTTCCCTTACGGGTAATTTCTTTAATGTGAGAATTCCATTTCATGTTACTTTGACAGCTAGCACCAAGTAACTTGAATGTATTAACTCTTTCGATCATAACATCCCCGATATAAAGATTGGGAGGCTGTGGGATAGATTTCCCAAAGCAAATCCACATATCTTTCGTTTTCTTTGCGTTCAACTTCATTTTATTAGCGTTTGACCAGTTCTGAACGGAGTCTAAGACTTTCTGCATGTTGCTACACTCTCCCTTCATGATGCATTCGCTTTGTGTGCAGTCATCGGCATATTTATATGTGCTCACCTCAAGATCTTCAGGAACACTCGTATCTAAGTTGTCAATGTGGATATTAAATAAAGTCGGCGAAAGAGCAGATCCTTGCGGTACTCCAGCTGGGCAACCCTCGATCGATGAAAGTGTTTGATTTATCTTGACCTGCTGAGTTCTACCACATAAGAAGCTTTTGACCCACAACCAGAAGCTTTTATTAACATTCATCAATGCAAGTTTATTCAACAGGATCCCATGATCAACTAGATCAAAGGTTTTTTTAAAGTCGATAAAGAGGGCATGGATGCCTGCTTTGTCACGGCAGGTATTGTCAGTAGCATTAAACCATGGCTGTGTGATGGATATCAGAGCCGATGTAGTAGAGCGGCCACTAGTAAAACCATGTTGACTGGAACGTAATGTGATGTCATTTTGATTGAGTTGTAGTTGTACTCTCTCTAGAATTTTCCCAATATGTGGCAAAACAGAGATTTGTCTAAAATCGTCACTAATGTCAGTTGGTGGGTATGCTTTAGGCACAGGTGTGACCAGGCCATGTTTGTAATGACTTGGATACTTACACTGTTTAATGCTAGCCGTAATGATGTCATGAACAATCGGCGCTAGAACGCTAGAGAATCGTTTAAGTAACCATGCTGGAAGACCATCGGCTCCCGTTGCACTTAATCTGGCCAATACTTTGTGCTTACGTGATTCGTTTATAACACTTGCAAAAATGCTTGTCCATTGTCTCTGAAACATTTATACGATTTTTCCATTCTGGCTTCTTTCGAGACTTTGTAATCAAATCCACATATTTGCTGATGACGAGATCTTGCTCCTTAAAACGCTCCGGGTCGGAAGTTCGAGGGTACTCTCTGTGTCCACCGTTCACAATGTTCACGTTGCCGTAAATGAGGACAGAGCCCGAGAAATAATGTTTGGCTAGCGTTGCGACATAATGCTGACTATAAATCCAACTTTTGTTTTCATTCTTAAGATTATACGGCAGCAGATACGGCAGGGCGTCGTGATGAAATGCATTGAAACATGCATCAAAAAGCCATCCTGAGAGAACATAGACACCGTTCCCGCCAGGTTTATTTCTTTGCCATTTACATCGGTTCGACTTACCATGGCAATACGCTGTAATTCCTACTGCGGGTTCGTATTCCACTAGAAAATTCTCAAAGGATCGCCATAAGCCAAGAGAGGTTACATTGACGTTGCTATCGACATTTGGCCGCATAGATGCGTCCTCGTCTACAAATATGTAGTAGAGGTACGCGGTTTTTCTCTTCATGGCGTGCTCGTAAAGGTAGTTCCTGCCTGAGTTCCAAGTTGTGCCATATCGGTGGATGTACTCTACATGTTCCAATTTCCCATTCTTCGCTTCGTCACATTTCTCTTTGTAACCCAACATAATAATATCACAGTTGCATGTAGACCCGTTGCCAATATTGCATTCCCCTCTAAAATATACAGGAAGACAGTTCTTCCCCATAACTAAGTACAGGAACTTTTTTGGCGTTGTCGAAGTACTGATCAGACAGCTTCCAGATGCTATAAACCAGTCCTCGCTATTTTCACCACCAAAGAAAACCCTGTATATCGCCGTGAAAATCGTTAAACTAAAAATTAAAATACAAATTTTTTTTGTGCCACAAATTTTTCGCTGCATAGCTTCGCCTAGTTTGAATGTCAGGCTCTCTGTGGGTTTATTTAAGCGAGCGAGAAATGCAGGCGCCGACTTCGCCGCGCTGCTCCAACAAGTAAGTTGTTATGCTCATTGAATATGTGCATGTGGTGATACTGATATTAAGTGACGTATAAATGACGGACGGATGAATGAAATAGGGTTAGGATAAAACGCGGATACGCACGGACGGATGAATGACGGACGGACGGCTTATATTCTCGCACAATGTCCTTTATAAAAGTTATTTAGAAACGATAGCCCTTCAGCTAATGCTGCTTTTCAAGGGATCGTTTTATATAAACCTATAAAATATTAATGTACTATTTAAAGCACGCGTAGGAGTGTTTTATCACATATAAAACACGACGCGTAGCGGAGTGTTTTATATGTGATAAAACACTCCTACAAGTGCTTTAAATAGCTTCAAAAACGACTCATCTCTTATACGAGTTCATTGGCGAAGTAATTTTTAAAATAAACTTTGTCTAAACCGAGAAAATCAAAGCTAAAGTTTATGTAAATTAACATAATTTTTTATCACATATAAAACCACGACACGCTTATGATTTTTCTTTGTGTTTTGCTCCTGAATTATTAATAAGTTTTTGAAAGATATTTACAAAATAAGTCATGTTAAATAAAACAATATTAATAAGTCATGTTGCAATACTTGTGAGCATCATCAACAGTCATTTAATCAATAGAAAAACAATTGTCGATTAAAATTTTAAAATGAAATGCTGATAGTTGCTCATACCCGTTGACTATGTCAATGGGTAAGTTGTTCCAGCCACAAGCTCCTCGGTACGAAAAGGAGATCTTTTCATAAAATTAGTTTTAGGCTTACCTAACACAAGCTTGCGCATGTTACTCCGCATTTCGTAAATGTTATTTTAAAATTAAAATTTCCCTTTTCCTAAGAATAGACTCAATTGGAGCCCATCCTAGAATCCGAAAGACTGTTTTTGACCTTGATTTAGAGCTTTAATAATAATC